CTTTGATGCCTATAAATATGACGAAATCCAACAAAAAACACTAAAAGAATAATGAAATATTATGAGAATCGCAAAAACAAAAGGTTTAAACTTCAAAAACGATGACTTGAACAAGATTACCTACTAAACTAACATTAATTTTGCAAGGGGATATTTTATTATAGAATCATCGATTTTATTATAGGGTTTCGCAGTTCTTAATTCGAAAGACAATTTTCAGATTAATCAACGCAATGTAATTAATAAAAGAAACCAAGAAAAATAAAGCTAACAGTTCCAACTCCTCATTCTCCTGCTGCTCCACCCAGCTCTAACCCGGTCTTAATTTTTCATTCTATAGTACAAAAAATATTTTAACCCATGTTTTATTAATTTAATTCAGTATAAAATTATTTAGTCCATATTAATTTAAATTTATTTTATATTAAATAAAAGATTATACATATTTTTGATATGACTCAAACTTCTCATATGTATTTTTTTTGGGGTTATAGCTTATTTTGTCATTTCTTCTCTTTGTTTTTATTTTTTAACGTTTTGTTTAAGACATAATTAATTTATATTGTTTATATTACTTTACATGTGAAATATATCAATTCCTTGTTAACTTATAAAGAAATGATATTTGAATATGTGAAATATATAAGTTAATTTCATTAATTTGCATAGCGTCTTCAATAAAAACAACATTTGGAATTCCACAATTTAAGCAAAATATTATATAACAAGTATGTTGAGTTAACATGCCTATTCAATAAACTGACATTTGGACCTCCAAAATGTAAGTGAAATATCATATAACAAGTATATTGTGTTGACATGCCTAATAAAACATTAATCAATAGTAGTATTTGAAATAAGCTATATTATTTTTGAAAGTCAAATTTAAGTAGGCAAGAAAATTACGTGGCAGTACCACTTTTTGAATAAAAAATTCCTATATCAACAAAAAATAAAATAAAATAAAAAATCTACAAGTTTATGTAAAATGCAATCGATCTTTTTATAAATACGCATAAAAAAGTAACATAAGGTGTTTTTGTTTTTCATTATTTTGTAATTTACATTAAACACTTAAAGAAATATCATACTTTGAATTTTTACACATAACAATAGTGATATTATTGAAGCCACAATTGAGTCGAATACGACGTGTTCAAACTTTTGCTCGTTTAATAAATAATAAAGCTTGGCTCGGATCATTTAATAGATCGAGTGTAATCAATTAAGCTCTGCTCGTTTGAATTAAATTTTTATTTTATGTTTTATTATATGAATGAGTTATGATTGACTTTTTACGAGTCGAACTGAGTTATATTCACTAACTAATCGGTTCTAGTAGCCTATGATAGATTCTGGCCACGTCCCTGGTTAAGGCTCAAATTTAACTCGTTAATATTGATAAGTGGGCTGAGCTTTAACCTGTATATTGACTCAGTTAGTTAATGGGTCAACCTCGACTCGACTTAATAAAAGGCTTCAAATCGAGCTCCAACTTGACTCAGCTCCTGTAAATTAGATAATTTATATATTTTTAAAGTAAGAAAGAAAGATAGAAAAATTGTTCAAATAAATGGTGGGATTATTGGTATCTTTTGATACTCAACATACATCAAAATAAATGGTGGAATTTGATTATTTTGTTATCTTGTTTAAACTCAATATACATCAAAATGAACCCATTAACTAGACTATGTACAATTTAATATGTGTTGGCTTGTCGTGCTTCCATTAACACTACAAAAAAAAATATTATATTCCAACAAAAAATTCTACAGTACTATATTTCAATGGTATGACTTCTGTTGGAATGGTTCCAGCGGAAATTCCAGCAGAAATATTCCGTTGTAATGTGTTTTTTATTGGAATTTTAGATGTAATTTGATGGTTCCAACGGCTTTTTACCGTAGGAATTTCCGTTGGAATTTTTATTTCCACCCTCATTAAAAAATACACCATTTTTTTTAAAGTCAAACAAGCAAATTGTAACACTCAAATGATAAGGTCTTACAATACGAGGCCTAACTAGGCACAAAAGCTGTTCGGGTAGCACAACCACTAACCCAATGAAAATACACCGTTGAGATCGTCAAAATCCAACGGAAATTCTAATAAAAATCACGTTCCAATTGAATATTTTTGTTGGAATCCATTGAAAAATTTAACGGAAATAATAGTATTAAAATATTCGTCGGAATAATTTTATTGGAATATATTTCCGTTAGAATTTCATTATTTTGTTGTAGTGTAACTTGCAATCAACCAAACTTTATTTATAATTTTATTATTAGATTTAAGATTGTCTTTACCCACACTTAATTCTAATACTAATTATAGCTCCTTTTAATTTTATGAAATCAATAATATAACTTCCTGATTAGTTATAATATTATTAATATGATTTCTCAAGCGTATTTAAATTATTTTCAACGTCTCAATTATATATTTGATATAATCACGCCGGTCAATATATATATATTTTTCTTTTGTAATTTATGTAGAATAAAGGCCTACCGAATTAAATTTTCTTCCGGCTTATGGTTAATTAAATTATTAATCATATACGGTGTATTTGTTTCGACTTTGGAATATTGATATATAGGCTGAGGTTTAAATTAAGTGCGATATTTTGAACTGTATCAAACCATTTATTTATTCAAATCCAATTTTTAAATTGATTGGCTCCTAACAATTGATAAATAGATTATTCCCACAATTCACTAAGCAAGTGACTCAATTTATTTGAGTCTTACCCAACTTCTCTTGCTGTCAGTGAACATAACTATTATAGTATTATATAAATATAATGCTTTTAAAAAAGTATACACACTTTCATATATAATCAACATGTTTCAAATAATAATATAAATAAAAAATATTATATTTTATAATATAAGTATGTATATTTATTTCAAAACGGTGGAATCCTATATAACTATTAAACTATCGGATACACATAGGCGTGTAAATGAGCCGAACTCGAGTTTAGGGTGCTCGAGCCTTCGTCTCGGCTCGTTACATAAATGAGTTGAACTCAGCTCGTTAAAGCCTCGAGCCCGACCCTTAACGAGTCGATCTCGAGTAATTTTCACGAGACGAACTATAAAAAATTATATAAAAATTATTTTTTTGAACTTTAATGAGCCTTATAGCTCGTTAACAAGACAAACTTTAAGTAAGCTCGAACTCAGCTCCTTAAAAACTTTGAGCTCGAGCCACAACGAGTCGAACCGAGACGAGCCAGACTTATTTAATTTAACAGAATTGTGTACAAAAAAATAGTTTTGATTAGGTTGCATCTTTTTATAATCTTTTTACCCCTTCATTATTAGTTTATTTAATTTAAATGTTTTATTAAATTTTGGCATTTCGTGTATGACTTTTCTTTAGTACACCCAAATGCCCAAATACTTTATAAAACATCCAATTACAATCCATTATAAATAAAATTAACCAAGAAAGGGTGGGTTTGTAACGTAACATGTTCATTTTAAATTGTATTGACACATTTTGCTAGGTGTGCCGGGGCACACGGTAGTAGCACTGGATATGTGACCTTTCATCCTTTTATCTTTTATTGGTTTATAAATCAGCAAATAGAAGTTCTCAAATTTCGTGTCTAACAAGAATTCATTCATATTATCAGAATCACATAAATACTGCAATTATTTTATTTTTTCCAAAAAAAGGACGTATTTATCTATTATATGTATCCAGTTCAAATTCCTCTTCATTAGGAAAACGTATTTAATTTTTTAGCTTAAGAAGTGATTAAATCATTTATTACGCTGCTTCAGTATTATCCCCTAATAAAAATCAAGTCTTTATCATTTTCCCATAATTTTAATTTAATCCCAATATATTACTTCTTTTTTTTTTTTTTGGTACAGTTTTGCTTTGTCGTCTTCCTCATGCGAAAGAGATGTTCTTGACAAAGCCCACACAGGGAACAAGAAAAAAATAATCAGACAAAATTTGTTCAAGAAAAAATTACAGAGAGGAAAAAAGGAAAAAAGATTTGATTTTTTATTTTTATTTTTTATTTTCCCGCGAGAAAGCTTTTCCTTGCAGCTTCTCTGTGTGAATCAGAGCTGCCCCACAAATTTTTCTTGCCATTTTTTCATGGGTTTTTTTTTTTTTTTTTTTTTTTTTTTTTTTTTCTCCTATGTTTTTTCGTCGTCTCCTAAGTTCACAGTCTCTCTCTTTTGTGTGCCCCATGTCTGAGGTTACATTCTGCACATCGTTTTCCCCATAATAATAGCCTAAAAGCAGCATTATTTGTGTAGTTGTTGGGACAATTTTGTTGCTGCCCTTCTCTCTCTCTCCCTCTTTAAAAATAGTCTGTTTAGTTGAGAGTTTCTTTCGAGCATTGCGCGTGTCCAAAAACCCAAATCCGACGGGTTGTACAAGTCAAAGAATGAGAGAGAGAGAGAGAGAGAGAGAGAGAGAGAGAGAGAGAGAGAGAGAGAGAGAGAGATCCAAGTCAATGATCTAAGTTTTTTTAATTTTTAATCAAACACCTGTCTAATTTCTGAACATAAATCCCAATTTCTCACCCTCGTCGTCCTGTTTTCGTAGCATACATTTTCGTTTAACTGTAAATTTTTGCAGCCATTTTAGGGATTTGGGATTTTGTTTTTGTTTCAGCTGATAATCGAGTAAGCCTTGAGATCATACTATAAAAAAAAAAAAAAAAATTGAATCTTTTTTAGACTGAAGGGTGTGTTACATCATGGGATGGATGTCTGATTCTTGAATCTTTCTGTTACTCAACTTTGTTTAGCAGTTATCCTCACAAATGGGGCTTTGGAGTTGTTGGAGCTTTTAGGACTATTTGTATTGGAGTTTTTTTGTCTGAGAACCATTTCTTTAATCTTTATTACTAAAGCTCTGTTACCTAATAAGTGGTCCTTTTGTGTTCTGTGCATTTGAAGGGGGCAAAAGTCATTTGTTACTCATTCAGATTTTCAAGATTATTGACCTCTTTTTCTATTGCATAAATGAGAACTGGTAGAAAAAAGAGATTCAATTTAAGCAGCATCTATTCATTCAAATGTGGCAAAGGATCATCTGAGGATGATGGCCAATCACAAATCGGAGGGCCGGGTTTCTCGAGAGAGGTTTATTGCAACGAGCCGGACGGCCAGGATGCGAGCCTTAGGAATTATTCGACAAATTATGTTAGGACAACTAAGTATACTGCTGCAACTTTCTTGCCAAAGTCCCTGTTTGAGCAGTTTAGGAGGGTGGCTAATTTCTACTTTCTTGTGACTGGGATTTTGTCTTTCACTTCACTTGCACCTTATTCTGCTGAGAGTGCTATTGTTCCCTTGATTGTAGTTATTGGTGCAACTATGGCCAAAGAGGGAATCGAGGATTGGCGTCGAAAAAAGCAGGTAATCACTCTTCTGCTTCTTCTAATCTTGTGTATGTTTTGGTGAATATTGAAAAAAGTCTCTGTGTGTGTGTGTGTGTGTGTGTGTGTTAAGTGGTTTTTGGCTTTCTTGGACAGATTTAGTGTTTAGTGAGGTCATTTTTGCAGGATTCAGGATGTTTTATGAATCTCTATTAATAATTGCAGGAATTATTGAAGTGAATCAATGTTGTTCTTTTTCCCCTTTTTGACTGTGTGTGTGTGTTCAAATTAATGAATCTTGGACCTCTTCTTTTATGTTTCTTTTTGATATTATGAAAAATTGGTGGGGGAGTTAATTGTGTTGTGTTGAACAGTAAGATTCTAATTTTTTTCTTTGCCTTTTTGGACTCTGGACAATCCAACCATCATTAGCACTTGATTCACTGAAGCTTTGCATGTTTTGCTGCTCCTTTTATTTGTTTATTTATTTATTTCATTTGTAATGCATCACATTTTGCAGTAAATTTTGCCTATTAGGAAGTATATAATTCTGAAAATTTTCTTTTTTCCAGAATGAAATTCAAATGAAAAATAAATAAATAAAAAGAAGTACATTGTGTTTGTGTGCTGCATGTGTTCCCTTTTCTCCTTTCCTTAGCCATTGTTCATTCTCTTGCCTTCAGGATATTGAGGTCAACAACCGAAAGGTCCACGTACATGAAGGCAATGGGAACTTCCGGCCAACCGAATGGAAAAACCTAAAAGTGGGCCACATAGTCAAAGTCGAAAAAGACGAATTCTTTCCGGCTGATCTTCTCCTCCTCACCTCCAGTTACGACGATGCAGTTTGCTACGTCGAGACAATGAACCTCGACGGTGAAACTAACCTTAAACTCAAGCAAGCCTTAGAATCAACATCATCCTTAAACGAGGAGGACATTAAGGATTTCTTCGCACTCGTCAAATGCGAGGACCCGAATGCAAATTTATACTCTTTTGTCGGGAGCATGGAGTACAACGGCCAGCAGTACCCTCTTTCCCCTCAACAACTCCTTCTTCGAGACTCCAAGTTACGAAACACTGACCATGTGTATGGGGTCGTCATTTTCACAGGCCACGACACGAAAGTCATTCAGAACTCGACTCACCCACCTTCGAAGAGGAGTAAAATCGAGCGGAAAATGGACACGATCGTTTACCTCTTATTCGGTGTTCTTTTCTCGATGGCATTGGCTGGTTCGGTTTATTTCGGTGTTCTGACTAAACGGGACTTGGGGGGCCCACTTGAGAGAAGGTGGTACCTGAGGCCCGACAGGTCGAATATCTTCTTCGACCCCAAACGAGCCCTGGCTGCCGGGATATATCATTTCTTGACGGCCCTTTTGCTCTACAGCTACTTGATCCCGATTTCTCTATACGTATCAATCGAAATCGTGAAGATCCTTCAGAGCATTTTTATTAATCAAGATGTTTGTATGTATTATGAGGAGGCTGACAAGCCGGCCCGCGCTCGAACTTCGAATCTGAACGAGGAACTCGGCCAGGTGGACACGATACTCTCGGATAAAACCGGGACGTTGACTTGTAACTCGATGGAGTTCGTTAAGTGTTCGGTGGGTGGTAAGGCTTACGGGCATGGCGTGACTGAGGTTGAAAAAGCTATGGCTAAAAGAAAAGGGTCTCCTTTATATGGAAAAGATGATGATGTTGAAAGTCCTAAGAGGAGATCATCGGTTAAAGGATTTAACTTTGACGATAAAAGGATTGTAAATGGGAATTGGGTGAACGAGCCTCGTTCGGATATTGTTCGGAAATTTTTCCAGCTGCTGGCTATTTGCCACACAGCTATACCGGATGTTGATGAGAATACGGGGAAAGTAAATTATGAAGCCGAGTCGCCAGATGAGGCTGCTTTTGTTATTGCAGCTAGGGAGCTCGGGTTTGAGTTCTTTAAGAGAACGCAAAAGAATGTTTATGTGAGGGAATTGAATCCTGTATCGGGTAAAATAGTTGAAAGGTATACATGTGTGTTCAGAATTAGGTGTGGAAACTTGAGAGGAAAAATCTGAATTAGATTATGTTCTAAAAGATATATTTTTTTTATTTTTTATTTTTTTTTTAATGATGCAGGTCGTTTGAGCTTTTGAATGTTTTGGAATTCAACAGTTCGAGGAAGAGAATGTCGGTAATTGTGAGGGATGATGAGGGGAGACTCTTACTGCTTTGCAAAGGTGCCGACAGGTTGTATAATAGTAAAAGTTCATTATAAAAAAAAAATTGGATTTTGATGGAAATATTTGAGCATGATAGATAAAGAATTGTGTTTGTTGAAAAAAAATTTAACAGTGTCATGTTCGAGAGGCTTGCTAAAAATGGAAGGGAATACGAAGAGCAAACGAGGGTACATGTGCATGAGTATGCCGATGCAGGCTTGAGGACATTAATACTTGCTTATCGAGAACTCAATGAAGAACAATATACGGCGTTTGATGAGAAATTCTTGGAGGCTAAGAACTCGGTCAGTGCTGATCGTGAGACGTTGATTGATGAAGTGACTGAAGGAATTGAAAAGGATTTGATTCTTCTAGGTGCAACAGCTGTTGAGGACAAACTCCAACAAGGGGTTAGTTATTTTATCAAAAGTACTAATTTTTTTTGGCAAACACTAAATTAATGAATGGTTCTGCTATTGTTATTATTAGGTGCCTGAATGCGTCGATAAGCTGGCTCAAGCTGGAATTAAGATATGGGTTTTAACTGGGGATAAAATGGAAACAGCTATTAATATTGGGTACAAATTCAGCACGTTTTTTTTTTTTTTTTTTTTTTTTTTTTTTTTTTTTTTTAATTTTTGTAACTTATGTAACACAAATTGGATCTTCAAGAGATATCTGATTGTTATGAGATGAACTTTTGCAGCTACGCGTGTAGTTTGCTCAGACAAGGAATGAAACAAATTATTATCACCTTGGATATACCTGAGATTATTGCTCTGGATAAAATGGGAGAAAAGGATGCAATTGCCAAGGTATAGTGAAAAGTACTTAAAAATCGAATCAAAATCGTTATATTTGTTGAGCAATTTGTACGTGTTCATTGTTAGCGGTTCATCTGTGAACCCGTTAAAGAGAACACATCGGTTTGGATGATATGGTTATTTAGGAAGACAAATGATATACTTTAACTGCTCTTGAGCTAAGCTGAATTACTAAAGATTGATCGGTTTAATGATTTAAATTAGGCCTCAAAGCAAAGTGTAATCGAGCAGATAAATGAAGGGAAGAGCCAAGTTGCCAAGTCGAGTTCAGATGCTTTTGCCCTAATCATCGATGGGAAGTCACTTGTATATGCATTACATGACGACACGAAAAAATCATTTCTTGAACTTGCAACTAGCTGCGCATCCGTAATTTGTTGCCGTTCATCACCAAAACAAAAGGCCCTAGTTAGTCTCCTTTTTTCCCATTTTTACCGTTTCTTGATTGAATATTTATTTATTAATTTCTACATATCATAAAAAACCGGTTTTTCACTTTTACAGGTAACACGACTTGTCAAAGAAGGGACAAGGAGAACAACTCTTGCAATCGGAGATGGAGCCAATGATGTTGGCATGCTTCAAGAAGCGGATATCGGAATTGGAATTAGTGGTGTTGAAGGAATGCAGGTAGATAAATTAATTCTTAAAAAAAAAATGATTGAATAACAATTTTTGACTCTCCTGTCTTGGTATTTTTATTCAATCTCGAAATTTTTCATCAGGCTGTTATGTCGAGTGATATTGCAATTGCTCAGTTCAGATTTTTGGAACGTTTGCTTTTGGTGCATGGGCATTGGTGTTACAGAAGGATATCATCAATGGTAAAATAAAACACTTAATTTGTTTATTTTGCAAACCAACTCAAAGGTTCAAATATGAAAAGATAATCGACACTTATGATATCTCTATATAATTTTCCCTTGCAGATTTGCTACTTTTTCTATAAGAATATCACTTTCGGTTTTACGATCTTCTTGTACGAAGCTCACGCATCATTCTCCGGCCAACCTGCTTATAATGACTGGTTTTTATCCCTTTACAACGTATTCTTCACTTCACTACCCGTAATTGCAATGGGAGTCTTCGACCAGGATGTATCCGCAAGATTTTGTCTAAAGGTACCATTTTTTTCGAGTTTTTTCCTTAAATTTACAAAAAGCAGAGAAAAAATCGAGATTATTAATTTGTTTAATATTGAATTAAAAAAAAAAAAATGTCTGGTGTGGGCAGTTCCCATTGCTCTACCAAGAAGGCGTGCAAAACGTGCTCTTCAGCTGGCGCCGAATAATCGGGTGGATGCTCAACGGCGTCTCAAGCGCTCTGATAATCTTCTTCTTCTGCGTTCTGGCCTTGGGCCCGCAAGCCTTCAACCGGGACGGGAAGCCCGTCGATTACCAGATCCTCGGGGCCACAATGTACACGTGTGTCGTCTGGGTCGTGAACTGCCAGATGGCGCTCGCCATAAGCTACTTCACTTTAATACAACACGTTTTCATATGGGGTGGTATTATTTTATGGTACGTTTTTCTTGTGATATACGGAGAAATGCCGTACCATATCTCGACGAGTGCGTATAAAGTGTTTGTCGAGTCACTTGCACCGACGCCCTCGTTTTACGTGGTGACATTTTTCGTGGTGATATCGGCTCTCGTGCCTTATTTTGTGTATAAATCGGTGCGAATGAGGTTTTTCCCGATGTATCATGGGATGATACAATGGATAAGGCACGAGGGGCGATCGGACGACATGGAATATTGTAATATGGTGAGGAATAGGTCGATAAGGACCACAACTGTCGGGCTTACGGCCCGTTCGTTGGCCAGGACGAGCCCGTTGATGCAGAGTCAAAGATGACGATGCATGCCGTCGATTTATCGTTTTTTTTTTTTTTTTTTNNGTTGGTGTAATTTTTTCATTTGTGGGTGTTAAAAGAGGGACAGTTAGGTCTGTAGTGTAAGGTGAAAAGGTGGTGTAATTATTGGGATGTATCATATCATATCATATGATGCCTTTGTTTGGGAATGCGGATTGGCCTTCACTAGGATTGTAAATGTTCTATTTATATATATTTGGTAGTAAAGGGGATTATTATCAATTTTGTGTATACTGTTGAGTGAGATGAAGTTAAAGAGAGATTGGGACCGTGGAAAAATTGGATTGAACCAGTGTTTTAAAACGCATATAGCGTAATGTATCGCGCTTTGGTCTTTATACTGCGTAGCGTAAATAGCGTTGCGTGTTGCGGAAGCTATTTGAGTATATTTATATATATATATATATATAAATATTACAAATATATTTGCATATAATAAAATTGGATGGTTGATTACAAAAATTATCATAATATTTGAATGACTTAAAAAATAACATCTAAGGATTATTTCTCACAAATATTTAATGTAAATATCATCATTTAAATAATAAGTGGAATATACTAAAAAGTAAAAACAAACAACGAAAATATAATGAGGCAAGTATATGCATTTTAATTATTAATTTTTTTTATCTAACTATAACTTAATTCTAACCAAATATGAACTTTATATTCTCTATTTAAATGTCAAATATCTAATAAAATGATATAACAAAAATTGACCGATAAATATTGCACTATTCGACTTAGAACTCTGCATTTTCAAACTTTTAATTTGAAATCATTATCCAAATTTTTAGTTTTCAGTTGTCATTTGTAAATATGACTATGATCCCTAAGAAATACGATTTTTTTAATATTTTATTGTTCAAACGTCGTAGTAGAAATATAGCGCAATGTAGTGAACAATAGCGTGAAATAGCGCAAAATAGCGTAAAGAAAGCGTGTCATTTCAACATTTCGCATAAGCTTTTTGGGAAAAACGCTAAATATATAAGGCTATGTCGCATTTTTTTGAAAAAAAGCTATATAGCGAGCAATAGCGAGCTACATAACGAGCTATTTAAAACAACGGATTGAACTAACAACGCAGAAGATTGATCAAAAGAGATACACAAGGCATCAAATAAGATACACAAGGCATCAAATAAAGACCACACAGGACACAGAGACTAAAGTAAACACATGGAAACTCGAAAATTTCGAAACGACCCTTGATTAATCAAATCAAAAATTTCGTCGACGCCAACATGAAGATTGCCCCCGATTGATGGCCACCTCCACCGCCACACGACTGCCAAATCCAGGCCAAAGCCTCCCATGAAGGGGAAGGAGAAGAACCTACTTGATGGGGTGGAGAACATAAAGAGACAGGTGGAGAACATAAAGAGACAACAACAACATCGGAGCCATTGGAGCCAAAGGAGAACATAGCCAAGAGACAACAACAACAAGTGGCATAAGTGTGGCCAGAACTCTTGCAAATTCGACATTTTCAGAGATTAGTGGATCGGCGGCTGATATTGATGTGACTGAACGGAAGCAGAGGTAGACACAACTAATGCAAACTCAAGTTGTGGTGTCTTGTCCAGCTGAAGACGAGTCTGCTCAAAAGTAATCTTTTGAATAGCAGCATCAATAGTAGGCAGAAGATGACGATGTAAGAGAGAAGCACAAACAACTTGATACCCAAGACGAAGAGCCATCAAAATTTGAATAAGCTCAATATGATCCGGACTAAACTAAAGCATATGAAGATAATATTGCCTTTCTTCTTCTTCAATTGAGGAGAATTTCCCATCCTGAAAAAGCAAGATCTACTGGTTTTAAAAAAATGGAAGGAATTCGTATGTTCTTCAAACAACAACTCAAATTATCTATGCGAATATTACAACCGTTAAACTTGAAGTAACGACAGAAAATAAAAAGGAAAAAATAAAAAAAACTAAAACAACCCATAAATCAAACAAAATACCCAATAAATGGACTCTAAATTCAAATGAAATAACACATTAAGTTTTTCACAAATGGTCTAGAAGAAAACATTTAGGAACATCAAATCCAATTGTCGATGCAACACAACAGCATAGAACAGAAGAGAAACCAGAAGCCCTTATTCTCATTCTAAAACACTCTAAAGTGAGAAGAACAAAAGACAAGAATGATCAAGAAATTACAAAACTATCTTACAAAAAACTACTCAAAGCACCATCACAACTTATCCCATTTCACCTTCATCTTATCAAAATGCCTATACTCACACCACATAACCAACTCCTCACCTATTGCCTTCAAACTAAACCTCGCCACCAAAACATAACACCCTAACTCGGTCCAAACTCCGCTTCCCTTAAACTTGTCGACCCTCTCGACCCTCATCTGTCTCTCCTCATCCCCCGACACCCAACCCCTCCTCTCATCCTCCCACCTCATCCACTCGACTATTTCCCGCCTTAAACTCACGCGCCCCCCACAACTCTCGTACCATATCATCCTCTCACAATCCACCTTCTTCTCGTCCCACTTGGCCCTCCACTTGCCGACACACGACACCTCGTTTTCGAACAAGCCGCTCACCGCCACGCGGGCGTCATTGCTGTCGCGACACGTGAAGACCTTCTTCCACCTCCGCTCGAGCGTCATCCCGTAGTAAGACAACCTGATGACACGATTTCCAAGATTGCCCTCCTTCACGAACAGAAACGGGCAGTACCATCTCCCGATGGCCATGGGAGTCGAGCAACTCTTGGATAAGGGGAAATCGAAACTCGGGAGGCGGTCAAAGAGCTTCGGGTCAAGGCCTCCGGCAGGGCGCAAGTGGAAGTGGTAGGGGTTGGGGACGATTCGCCATCCGAACTCCCCTCCTCTCAAGAAACGAGGGGGTTGGCCATCGGGTGACACTGACCGAGCCACAAACGAGCCATTGTATGGCACGATCTCGAGTTGCTTGTACGTCACGCGGGTTCAGCTGTCGCGGTTTTGCATCCTTAACGAAGCGAAAGCAACACCATTTGGTTGCATCCTTTTCCTTTGATAGCAGGTGAATGCTAGCCTGAAAAATTAGTTGTAAATAAAAAAAATCGGTGTGGATGTATCATTAAAATCGGCGTTCTTACTAGAAGTTGTAACTCAAATTGTTGTTTACCAAACAACATGATTAGAGGCTTTGACTATCAATCATATATCTAGTTCAATTCTAAAACCTCTAGCTTGGTCTCATATATATCTCTCTAGTTGGTGGTGTTTGGTAGTTATTAAAAGTTTTAGAGATTTGAAGCCAAACTAGAAGTTTGACTAATCAAATCTTCTAAATTCAATTTGTTTAGCAAGTCGATGTTTCGATCTAGGTTTTTTTGTTCCATGAATTGATTTTGAAAAAGTTGGCAAATGAAATTGTTTAGAGAGACTTGGATATTTGGGATACAATGTTAATATATGTGTTTTATCGAACTGCTAAACTGTTCAACTTGTAAGAGTTGTTTGAATAGTAGGGTACTGTCTAATCTATTTAAATACCCTTAGAACTGGAAGGAGATAGATTATTCGATGGAGGCTCGATAGACATGCTCGTATCTGTATTATCTTATTTGATTTAATGAACTCGCCATATATATATTTGTCCTCTTGTTACGAATAATTATTGAAAATAAACCTCTAAACATTTTAGGCTCGTTTAATCGTCTAACTAAAACGATCATATATTTTAAATGCGCATTTACAATAGACACGGTTATCCCGATTATCTCGTTCTTTTATCATTATTGTTGAATCATTCTAAGTTCGTAAAATCTGCATTTGTACATATGAACGAATTGCAATGATGATGAAATAAAAATAAACGAACAGAAGTCGCGTACCCTTCGTTTTCATCGAATGCTTTAATGGCGTATTAGCGATTTGAAGAGAGCGGCTCGTCGAGCACGGGGATAAAACAGACGTGCTTGTAGTGACAGCGTTCGTCCCATACAGAACCTTTGTATTCGACGATGACCCTCTTGTCCTGAGGCAGGGGCAGCTCCAACTTTGCCTCGACAAAGCACATCCCGAAACACGAAGGAACCGTGTCTTCTGTGTATTGCTCCCCTTCAATAACTAGGTAGTCGGAATTCGGGCCCTCCGGTGGGTCTCCAAGGAGCTCTGGATGTTGTTTCAGTTGTGAGAGGGTCCTTGTCGTGTACATTGTTTTCTCTTTCAAATCCAACCAAAGCACTATGCGTTTTGTTCTTTTTTTTTTTTTT